ATCAGACCTGCACAACGATCTGGAGTAATTTTGGACCACTCCTCTTCACAAAACTGTTTCACTGTAGCAATATTCTTGGGATGTCTGGTGTGAATCGCTCTTTTAAGGTCATGCCACAGCATTTCAATCGGGTTGAGGTCAGGACTCTGACTGGGCCACTCCAGAAGGCGTATTCTGTGCTGTTGCAGCCATTGTTTTGTTGAATTACTTGTATGCTTTGGGTCATTGTCCTGTTGCATCACCCATCCTCTGCGGAGCTTCAGTTGGCTGACAGATGGTCGTACGTTTTCCTGCAAAATGTCTTGATAAACTCTGGAATTCATTTTCCCATCAATGACAACAATCCGTCCAGGCCCTGAGGCAGCAAAGCAGCCCCAAACCATGATGCTCCCTCCGCCATGTTTTACAGTGGGGATGAGGTTTTGATGTTGGTGTGCTGTGCCTTTTTTTCTCCACACATAGTGTTGTGTGTTCTTCCCAAATAACTCAATCTTGGTTTCATCTGTCCACAGTATATTTTGCCAGTAGTGCTGTGGAACATCCAGGCGCTCTTTTGCAAACTTCAAACGTGCTGCAATATTCTTTTTGGACAGCAATGGCTTCCTCCGTGGTGTCCTCCCATGTACTCCATTCTTGTTTAATGTTTTCCTTATTGTAGATGTGTCAACAAAAATGTTAGCATGACCCAAAGATTTCTGTAGGTCTTTAGCTGACACTCTGGGATTCTTCTTTACCTCATGCAGCATTCTGCGCTGTGCTCTTGCAGTCATTTTTACAGGACAACCACGCCTAGGGAGAGTAGCAACAGTGCTAAACTTTCTCCATTTGTAGACAGTCTGTCTTACCATGGACACAAGAACATCAAGCTTTTGGAGATACTTTTGTAACCCTTTACAGCTTCATACAAGTCAATAATTCTTGATCGTAGGTCTTCTGAGAGCTCTTTTCTGCGAGGCATGGTTCACATCAGACCGTGCTTCTTGAAACCAGTTAACCCAAAACAGGTGTGTGTTTTTTAAGGGCAGGACAGCTGTCAGCAACACATCCAATATCATCACACTGATTGGAGTGAAGGTTGGCTCACTCCTGGCTCCAATTAGCTCTGGGAGAAGTCATTAAGCAAGGGCCTCACATACTTTTTCCTCCCTGCACTGTGAATGTTTACATGTTATGTGCAATTAAACCATGGCAACATCTAATGTTTGTGTAGTATTATGTTCAGCAGACTGTGTTCTTCTATTGTTGTGACTTAGATGACGTTCAGAGCACATTTTATGCCCAATTCATGCAAAACTCCACGTAATCCCAAGGGGTTCACATACTTTTTCTTGCAACTGTATATATACTGGTGAAACTCAAAAATTAGAATATGGTGCAAAAGTTCATTTATTTCAGTAATGCAACTTAAAAGGTAAAACTAATATATGAGATAGACTCATTACATGCAAAGCAAGATAGTTCAAGCCGTGATTTGTCATAATTGTGATGATTATGGCTCATGAAAACCCCAAATCCACAATCTCAGAAAATTAGAATATTGTGAAAAGGTGCAATATTCTCGGCTCAAAGTGTCCCACTCTAATCAGCTAATTAAGCCATAACACCTGCAAAGGGTTCCTGAGCCTTTAAATGGTCTCTCAGTCTGGTTCAGTAGGAATCACAATTGTCAGGATTGGCCATTCAAAAGTGTTGGGGACTTTCACAAGGAGTGGACTGAGGCTGGAGTCAGTGCATCAAGACCCACCACACACAGACGGATCCTGGACATGGGCTTCAAATGTCGTATTCCTTTTGTCAAGCCGCTCCTGAACAACAAACAACGTCAGAAGCGTCTTACCTCGCTAAAGAAAAACAGACCTGGTCTGTTGCTCAGTGTTCCAAAGTCCTCTTTTCTGATGAGAGCAACTTTTGTATCTCATTTGGATTCAAAGGACCCCGAGTATGGAGGAAGAATGGAGAGGCACACACTGCAAGATGCTTGAAGTCCGGTGTGAAGTTTCCACAGTCTGTGTTTATTTGGGGAGCCATGTCATCTGCTGGTGTTGGTCCACTGTGCTTCATTAAGTCCAGGGTCAATGCAGCCGTCTACCAGGAGATTTTGGAGCACTTCATGCTTCCTTCCGCAGACGAGCTTTATGGGAATGCTGACTTCATTTTCCAGCAGGACTTGGCACCTGCCCACACTGCCAAAAGCACCAAAACCTGGTTCAATGACCGTGGGATTACTGTGCTTGATTGGCCAGCAAACTCGCCTGACCTGAACCCCATAGAGAATCTATGGGGCATTGCCAAGAGAAAGATGAGAGACAGGAGACCGAACAATGCAGAAGAGCTGAAGGCCGCTATTGAAGCATCCTGGTCTTCCATAACACCTCAGCAGTGCCACAGGCTGATAGCTTCCATGCCACGCCGCACTGAGGCAGTAATTGCTGCAAAAGGGGCCCAAACCAAGTACTGAGTACATATGCATGCTTATACTTTTCAGAGGTCCGATATTGTTCTATGTACAATCCTTGTTTTATTGATTGCATGTAATATTCTAATTTTCTGAGATTGTGGATTTGGGGTTTTCACGAGCTGTAAGCCATAATCATCACAATGATGACAAATCACGGCTTGAACTATCTTGCTTTGCATGTAATGAGTCTATCTCATATATTAGTTTCACAATTTAAGTTGCATTACTGAAATAAATGAACTTTTGCACCATATTCTAATTTTTCAAGTTTCAAGTGTGTGTGTGTGTGTGTATACACACTGTATACAGTATATTAAATACAATAAATGTTAAAGTAACTCTGTCACTAAATTAAAGAACTTATTTAAAAGGAATGGATGGATTTGTTGTATATTAATTATATATCTTTATTACCTTTACAAGCACTAATAGTAGAATACAATATTAATCATAGCTGTAGTAATTAGTCATACAGTATGTTTCTTATGATATAGTACAGTAAATATATAACAGATGTGTGGCAATCTTTAAAGTAACTGCTGAAATAAAGTAGAACTATGGCCTCCTGTTAGATAAAAAGTATGGATGGATTTGTGTTATATAACAATTTGTGTAGATACCTAATAACTCTAATGATAGAATGTAATATTAATCGTAGCTGTAGTAATTACAAATATTATCTGTTCCTTATGATATATATATATAATAAATACAGTTTCATGCACACAGGTGGCTAACAGCTAATTTTGCATTCAGGAAGAAGCACCATCTGCACATGTGCAGGTAAACGCCAATGATAAAGCCGTCGGCATTTAGCCATGCACAACCATGTGCAGTTGTATATTTGTGGCACATGCACCTCCCTGGGAGCCAGAAAGTTCCAGGGATTTTGTGTCTCAGAAGACATGGCCCAGGAGCTGATCATGTACACGAGGCCTAAATATATAAGGGATCTGTGTCTTTCTGTAACCATTTTACTACCACACTATAGCCGAATGACAGCTGCAGCACGGTCGATTAGATCTGGGAGGGATTCATATGATGTCCTCCCAGAATGCAACCACCCCCCCGAGCTCCCCAGCGGTGTGCACTTGGTGCTGTCTGTGAACTCTGTGTCCTTTGGACACAGCTGATCACATGACATGGTAAAAGGCCAATCACATCGGCCATTTACAACGTGATCAGCTGTGTCCAATCACAACTGACCACTATGTAATGTAAAAAACTTGCCAGTTATCAGCAGTACTTTCCTCACACTGTCACAGCCTAAGGAAAGTATTGCCGGTAACCAGCAACTGTCAAAGCAGATATCTGCAGGGCGCTGATTATCAGTGCAGCCCCAATAGTGCCCATTAGTGTCCAACAGTGTTGCCCATCAGTTCCCAGCAGTACTGCCCATCAGTGCCGCCCATCAGTGCCTAACAGTGCTGCCCATCAGTGCCGCCCATCAGTGCCCAACAGTGCTGCCCATCAGTGCTGCTCATCAATGCCCAACAGTGCTGCCCTTCAGTTCCCAACAGTGCTGCCAATCTGTGCCTGTCAGTGCTGCCAGTCAGTGCTGCCTATCAGTGCCACCAGTCAGTGCCATCAGTCAGTGCTGCCAATAAGTGCATGCCGGTTATTGCCACCAGTTAGTGCCCATCAAAGCTGCCTATCAGTACCCATCAGAGCCGCATATCAGTGCAGCATCATCAGTGCCTCCTCATCAATACCCACAAGTGTCGCCTCATCAGTGCCCATCAAAGCTGCCTGTCAGTGTCCATCAGTGCTGCCTCATCAACGCACATCAGTGAAGGAGAAAAATTACCTGTTTGCAAAGTTTTATAATAGAAACAAAGAAAACCTTTTTTTTCGTTTATGGTGCAAAAATAAGACTTCCAGCGGCGATTAAATTCGACCAAAAGAAAGCTCTATTTGTGTGAAAAAAATGATAGAAACTTCATAATGGTACAGTGTTGCATGACCGCGCAATTGTCATTCAAGGTGTGAGAGCGCTGAAAGCTGAAAATTGGCCTGGGCAGGAAGGGGGTGAAAGTGCCCGGTAGGCAAGTGGTTAAAGCAATTGTAGACTGAGTTAAAGTAGAAGTATGGCCTCCAATTAAAACACAATATGAGCTGAAAAGTTGAATTATAGGAGCTCCTGCACATATAGTTATTTCTTAGTCCCCCTGCAAAGTCATACAAATACCTGTTGATCCTGAAACCCAATATAGCTTCCTGTGATGGGTTGGCAACAATGCTGCACTGCTCCTGAATTCAGAGTAGAGTTGTCACTCTCATGTAGTTTGTACCTGTTTGCACTACATTTGAAGGAATCATTGTTGCATGGGTCATGGCTATCAGCATTGCCTCTGCTGATTCACAAGTACCCTATCAATCAGCACCTGGCCACACCTAGCCCCACCCACTGCTTTCTGGATTGGTAGTACTGTCTCTGTTTCTGGACCTTCTCACTATGAGCTGCAGTGCCTGGGAGGGAGAGCATGTTTGATATAAACAGGGCTGGATCTATTCTGTCAGATATGGGAGTGGAATAAAATATGTCGGGGGGCAGAGAATTTGAGGTCAGCAGGGCAGTGTACTGGGGTCAGCAGGGCAAAGCACATGGGTCAGCAGAGCTGAGGATAGAGGACAGCAAGGCAGAGGACAGGGATCACTTTTGGCAGGGCAGAGGACAGGGGTCACCTTTGGCAGGGCAGAGGATTGGGGTCACTGCTGGTAGGGCAGAGGACAGGGGTCACTTTTCGCAGGGCAGAAGACAGGGGTCTCTGCTGGCAGGGCAGAGGACAGGGGTCACTGCTGGCAGGACAGAGGACATGGGTCACTTTTGGCAGGGCACAGGACAGGAGTTACATTTGGCAGGGCAGAGGACAGGGGTCACTTTTGGCAGGACAGAGGACAGGGGTCAGTTTTGGCAGGGCAGAAGACAGGGGTCACTGCTGGCAGGGAAAAGGACAGGGGTCACCGCTGGCAGGGCAGAGGACAGGGGTCACCTTTGGCAGAGCAGAGGACAGGGATCACTGCTGGCAGGGAAGAGGACAGGGGTCGCTGCTGGCAGGGCAGAGGGCAGGGGTCACTTTTGGCAGGACAGAGGACAGGGGTCACTGCTGGCAAGGCATTCAGCAGAGCTCCTTCTCCCATTCCTGCACTGCACACAGCCTGGGCATAGTCAGCAGAGCTCCTCCTACACACACAGATAACTTTGGCTTTGGGGGTAACAACTAGAATCTGGGGGAGCATAGCCCTCAGCACCCCCCTAGATCCGGCCATGACTATAAATGAAGGAGGATATGGCACAGTCAGATAAGGTAGAGGAAGATTTTCATTTACTTTATGAGGCTTGTGCTTCCAGTAACTGAATTTGGTCCTTGTTAAATTGTACTTTAAGAATTAAAAAAAAAGAAACACCCTGTAAAAGAAGATTATTAACGCTCACAAGTTGATCTGTGTTCGATCTTTGCTCTCTTTCAGAGCTTTGACCTCCAGAAAACTCTTCAAGATCCAACTGATACGGCAGATGATGAGTGGACCCACAGCAGAGATGCCAGGCATAGGAGACACCAAGCAGTGTCAGATGCTGAACGTTCTTCAGTCTACCATGGACAGCAAAGACTCAAGATGCAGGTAGTGGGAAGAGTAGGTATTTATACTTTTTTCACAGTATACACTGATCACCCATAATATTATGACCACCCACCATAAAGTGTTGGGGCATGGGTATCAACCGCTCATCTAAAGGTAGGCTGTGGTCGCTGCCTCCAAGCCATCAGTAGCAGATCCTTTAAGCCCTTTAAGAAGCCTTGCAAGATGTGTGGTGGGGCCACCATGATTCAAACTTGCTTTTCCAGCACATCCCACAAATGCTCGATTGGATTGTGATCTCAAGAATATGGAGGCCAAATCAACGTCTTAAATTCATTGTTGTGTCCCTTAAACTGTTCTGGAATTCAGGACATCTTCTTGCATTGCTCTGTTGTCCAGTTCTGATACTCATGTGCTCATTGTAGGCACTTTTGGCTGTGGACACGGTTCAGCATGGACACCATGACAGGTCTGCAGCTACACAGCCCCATACACAATAAACTGCATTACTCTGTGTGTTCTGACACCTTTCTATCAGAACCAGCATTAACTTTTCAAGCAATTTGAGCTCCAGTAGCTCCTCTATTGGATCAGACTACACAGAGTAGCCTTCACTCTCCACATGTATCAGTGATTCTTGGCCGCCCATGACCCTGTCGACGGTTCACTGGTTTTCTTTCCTTGGACCCCTTTTGGTCAATCCTGAACGCTGCAGACTGGAAACATCCCACAAGAGCTGCAGATATGGAGCTGCTCTGACTCAGTTGTCTAGCCATTACAATTTGGCCCTTGTCAAAGTCTCTCAAATCATTATGCTTGTCCATTTTTTCTGCTTTCAACACCTCAACTTCAGGGTCAACATGTTCACTTACTGCCTAATAAATCCCACCTACTTCCAGGTGCCATCGTAACAAGGTAATCAATGTTATTCACATTACCTATCAGTGCACATAATGTTATGGCTGATCGGCAGGGGCGGACTGACCATTTGGAAACTCGGACACTGCCCGAGGGCCCGGGTCAGTAGGGGGCCCCATGAGATGCCCCTGGTACCTTTTTCATAGGCTTTTTTGAGTTTGGGCAAGGACACAGGGGCTCCATGATCCCCTATTGCCCGGGGGCCCCATGAGTTGTCAGTCCACCCCTGCTGATCGGTGAATATTTTTATTTCCAATCCATGTGGGTGAGGAGAATGAAGAAATGCTTGCTCCAGCCTGCAGCAGAATAATGACGTCATCTCAGCTTAGATAAAGTCATTGAATGGAGCAAAGTATAGTTTTTTAATGATAAAAGGGGGAGTTTTACAGAAAAATATGTTGTTGTTGCATGTTGTGATATGTGAAGACTTTATTCAAGTAACTGATGGGTCCTCTTTAACAGATCTGGCCATATATGTGAAACCATAACTGTACAATGTAGATATATGGCTCTCCTTCCAGGAATTGGCCCTAGCAGGGGTATCAGAGAGAGAAACTCAGTAAATGTGGTTAGAATTCAACTTCATCTTCCTGGGCGATACGTAACCTGGGTATAGGCAGCCTGTTTGGGAATATTTGGGAATTTCTGATGTGTAATGCTGTCTACATCTGTCAACGCAAGTCGTGACAGTAAAAATATCCCCAGCTGTACGAGCAGATTATCAGGTGCTATGGACTGATATAGCCTCTGGGGAAGGGGGGAGACACTGCGGAATGTGTCACACCACCACAAGACCCCCGTCGTAGGCTCTGTTTTACAATATATATATTTATATATATATATATAGGATTGGGCCCTCGTGTTTGGTTAAGGGGACCCTAACCGTATCGCTGGTTTACAATGGGAGTCAAGTGGTGCTCTCGCTGATCTGCCATTCCTGAAATACCTTCCACTTCCTATGGAATGTCGTGTGGAACGTATCGCTGTCACCGCTGGCCTTACATAACGAGACACGGCGCCCATATTAAGCCAATGATTGTTCCATGCAATTATTGGGCTTCTCTTCCTCTTGTACAGATCTTTATGCAATAATATCTTGGTGTACTTTGCAATAACCCAAAACCTTCCTCATTACTATTTTATCCAGAAGTTGATTTAGCATTTGGCTTTTTTAGGGCCCCTCAAGAAGAGAAAAATAAGATTGTATTTAATATTTTCAGCTTTCAGAACCTTTCCCACCTAAGGTAGATGTAAATCCTGATTTGTCCACGTACCATAATAGGAAGCTGCACACTGCTGTGCCCAGAAACACTCAAAGGTCCACTGGTGTCACCACCACACTTCTCCAGATCTGTTCCTCTCAAACTAGTTTAAATGCTGTAATAGAACACTATACCACTGTACCATTCGAGATAAAAACAACTTTATGATCCAGCACTGTTGAGGACACTCCACCCTGCTCCTCTCTAACGCACTTTGCCCCAATTAGGTTATTATTATTATACAGGATTTATATAGCAGTTTGCTCATAACGGCAATATTACGGGAAACAATACAGCAACAATACAGTTCAATACAAGAGGGTTAGGAGGGCCTGATCCTGGGAGCTTACAATCTAAGAGGGAGGGGCTAGTGGTACATAAGGTAGTAACTGTGGGGGATGGACTGGTAGGAGGAGTAGAAGATTCCATTGTTAGCTGAGGGCAGGATAGGATTCCCTGAAGAGATAGGTTTTCAGAGATCACCTAAAAGTGAGCAGAGTAGGCGATAGTCTGATAAATTGGGGTAGAGAGTTCCAGAGGATGGGGGAAGCTCTGGAGAAGTCCTGGAGACGAGCATGGGAGGAGGAGATACAGGAGCTAGAGAGCAGGAGGTCATGGGAAGAGCGGAGAGTATGGTTTGGGAGATATTTGGAGACAAGATTGGTGATGTATTTTGGAGCAGAGTTATATATGGCTTTATGTCATTAAGTCATTCAAGTCCCAGCAGGGGGTGAAATGCATTAAAGGAAACAGCACAATGCAGTGTCCTCAATATTTATGATATGCAGACTGGTTGGGGGCGCAGACCCCGAAGAACTGAGCACCCACAACTGAAGTGATGACAGCGATGGACTTTTGAGTGGTATTGGGGTCACTGTGAGTGATATTATTATTATACAGTATTTATAAAGCGCCAATAGTTCGCTCAGCTCTGTACATTACAAAGGGGGACAGAACATGTGACAGAACAATACCAATACAATGCAAAACATGAGGGGATCGAGGGCCCTGCTCTTTCGAGCTTACAATCTAGGAGGGAGGGGATAGTGGCACAGGAGGAGATAGCTATGGGGGATGGGAGTGGTAGGAAGAGTGGAGGAGGTCGGCAAGTTAGCAGGGGGTGGGGTAGGCTTCCTTGAAGAGATGGGTTTTCAGGGTGCGCCTAAACCCAAAGTGGCCTTGCTGTTCCCCAGGAGTGAAGAGAACTGCCTTCTACTTCCATGTACGGGGGATCAGGCGGCTCACCTCCTCTCCTGGTGAAAGGCCTTTAAGGCACCCAAGACTCTCACGTGGGGTAGCGAGAAAGCCCTAGCTCTGTGTGAACTCTAGTGATGAGTCGAATGTACCTGGATTTGGTTGGTTTGGTGAACTTCACAGAAATTCTGATGCCAAATCCGAACCCTTTTGAAGTCAAAGGGAGATGAATTTTGAGCTCCAAGTCATTATTGGTGGCCCTACTTTAACGGGGCTCCCATCAGGGTAAATCTGTTGGTTTGCCCTTCATACATTTACCATTGCAATAGTACCAAACATTCATTTTTTTTTTTTTTCTTGTAGAAGAAATATCACATCTCTGTATGAATTCAAAAAATGTTGAGTTCCTGGAGTGGACAATGTAGTGTTAAACATTCTATTCTATTAATTTTTAATTTGAGCAATTATATATTGGATTGGAATATCTTCATAAACTTCCTATCACCGCCTGGAAAAAAAAGAATAGGAGCTCCCATACAGCCTTACAATCCAAGCTCTGTCATTGCCAAATCTTCTGGTGGCCCCAGTCTTGGATCAAATGACCTCTTTTCCCCATCCTCTGCTGAGTCCCACTGCAACCTCAGTCATCCACGCTGGAGCATGAGCGTGTAGTTGCAAAGCATAGAGACCTGTGACAAGAGGACGCAGAGCTATGAATCCTGCTAAATCTGCCTTTAAAAAATTATAAATAACTCAGCATTTCCCTGATTATTTTTATGGTTCACCAAAATGATTTTGCTTGCTGCATACCAGGGGCAGACTGACAACTCATGGGGCCCCGGGCAATAGGGGATCATGGGTCCCCTGTGTCCTTGCCCAAACTCAAAAAAGCCTATGAAAAAGGTACCAGGGGCATCTCACTCCCCTACTGACCCCGGGCCCTCGG